GGTACCTGCAGTATTACTAATAAATGTATCTCATGTAATGGCAAGTATTAGATGTTTGCAGTGATACTAACAAGGGTATTTTTACATATTTTGGTATAATTCTGGAATCAATGCCTTTCCTTCCTAATTATTTATTTAGCAGAAGTCTGTGGGTAGATACTGTGTTTTTAGAGAGATAATTCATACTCGAGTAAAATACATCAGTTTGGAAAATGGGCTCTGGCATCATATTTACCTGTGATGGTGATCTAAGTGCAACTGTGGGTTTCAGTGCTCCACTGACAGTAACCTGGTCTCTCCTTGGGAAGAGAGAGACCGCCCCTGACTCCTGGACACCACTTCCCTTCCAACTCAGGCAGGGATCTAGAAGTCACCATCTTTATTTTCACCCCCCACAATCCCCCTTCCCTGCCCTCAGATCCAGTGGGTTGGGGTGGTTTTTTTCATTTAATAGCACACTTCTGAGTGTGAGTTGATATAAATAATGGTGCCTCCATACAGTTAGACTTCTGTCTGTTTTTGAAAAAGACTTGGCTCAGGAAGACTTAGAGTGCAGAAAATCAGAGCTAATATGCACATTTTAACTGTGAGGAAAACTATACTCAGTACCCCCTTAGTACATTCCCGGATGGGATATCGCCATTTTCATATTGCAAGGAGTCATCCAAAATGTGAGCACTAAAAACGTGCTTTGATTTAACTTTTATCTGTATTCTGTGGGGAGATTTTTTATTAATCTGTTATGTTTATAAGTTCTATTTCTAAGCTTCTTGAAGGTTGGAAGCATGCAAATTGATTTCAGTAGGATAAATTTCAAGTATACAGGCAAATATTTTTCAGCTTGACTGTACCATGCATCAGTTGGTAATTGTTCTTTTATCCCAGTGGGTATTAGCTGGGGCAGGAATTTCCATGATCCTTTCTTGGTGGAGGAGCCCAGTGATGTTCTACAGAAGGAAAAATTCCAGTTTTGTGCTGTTATGCAACTGCCTTACAAAAGATTGAGCATCTGCTGAAAAATAGCTATTGCCCTAGAAACAAATTCCTGTCTCAGGCTAGAGTTGTGTCTTACGAAATTTTATTTCTACTTACATATTATTTCATGCAGGCTATTAAGTGTTTCTTCACTCTGTTGAAGGATTAGGTGACATGGTCATTTTATATTGATGCCAGCAGAGTACAGTGGAGCAACAGGAAGGAGGTTCAAAAGCAGTTAGTGTTAAAGCCCTTGGTGGTGCATAAGTAAGTATAGAAGATGTTAATGAGCACAGTGCAGGTGTGACATAAATAATACTACAAATTATAGGGCTGGTGTAAACTAGTTGGAAAAAAGTAGTAAGTGGCAGAGTTTGTAATTTCCAGAGTTTTAGCATGGAAGAGTAGCCGACCAGTAAGTGAATAGGGCCAAAGGATGTGTTTGTGTGGAGATCTAACTCCACTGATCTTGTTTGTATCAGCAGAAACGAAGAGAAATTTGTCTATAAGCTTTTGCATTTTTAATTGTAGCAAAATTACCCTTCTATTTTTACATGTGTTCTTTCTTCTTTGTTATTTCTGAAACGTTCAGAAATGTAAGTGCTTACTTCACCTGTTACTTCAGCAATAGAGAACTTCACCAGCTTGAGACAAATGTGACGGCTGTTGATGTTCCATAATTCAAGAACTGTATGGAAACTTGCACTTACTACTTGTGGCAATATTCCAGTTCTCTGCCTGTGTAAAACAATGTTTGTAATTTAAAACGAGACATAATGTTTGGGAAGAAGGCAAATAGTTTATTTTCACATGTACTCTTCTACAGACTGTGCACTTTAAAAGTAGAGGAACCAGCCCAAAACCCTGGTTCTGAAAACCCACAGTGTTCTCAGCTTTCATTGGCAATAGGAGGTTCTTGGAGCCTGGATTCAGCGTTGTACCTCTAAATTCATGAAGAGCATTTGATTCAATTATAATGGGAATTGCTTGGATGCTGTCTTCAGATTTTTTTGAGGTGAAGTAAGAGCCTTAATTTCCATGTTTCCTTCTCTCACAAATCAGTCTCAAGAAATCGTGTAACTTGCATTTATGTTGAAATTAAATAGATACTGATGGTTTTCTTGACTTTCGCTTTGTGGTCCATTACTTTTGTTTTGTGTTTTAGAGGTTTTTATTAACAGGAGGAAGAAGGTATTCAAGCTGCTGCAGTGAGTGCTCTCTCAGTAAATGTGATCACTGAATCTAAAGGGGAAAATAAATTGAGACTGCTCTGCTCCACTGTGATAGTCAGTTTTGCAGTCATTGTCCCACGCTGCACATTCCCTCTTCTTGATGTCTGTCCAGTGCAGAGTATTAAATCCTTAAGGGCTGTGATTGTGTGAGATCCCATGATTTTATGATTTGGGTTTGGATTGGGCTGTAAGTTTGTACACGTGATACATAGAGTCCCTTCAACTGAGTTGCACTATACAAATGTTACTAAGGAGTCAAATCTATGATTTATTAATTTAAATACTTCCAAATTATAAAAGAAATAAAGGAGTTGGTAGAAAAAAATTTGGAAAACAGCAAAAGACAAGTGGAAAAAACTGAAATGTCAGTGTTCCTTTTTATTTATTTTATCCCCAGTTGTTCCACATGACTGCTTTATACCAGATGCCAATTTCCAGGACCACCCTGTGAGAAAAGGACTAGCAGTATTGCACTTTAAAAAAAAAAAAAAAAATTTAAAATTTATTTTAAAAGGGTGTATATATATTGGGATTCAGTTATCTAAAAATGTACTGTGGGGTGCTCTGAGGCTTCTTATTCAGTCTCTATCTAGATGCAGTTCCAGGACAAGAGCCTCTTACAGGTCTTGTGCCCTATGTGCTAGCTCCACAGAGTTACTGCGGATACTTGAGGACAAACTAAACACGCTGGGTGCCTGTGACAACTGAGTCAATCAGTTTCTGAGCAGGTAGTTTCTAGTTGTCAGAGGTCACAGCAGTCAGGCAGATTTAGAGATGAGTGTGCAAAAAGGCAGATTTTTGGTGCCATTTAGAGATACTTGAGGCCTGATTCCCCCTAATGTGTCATCACTTCTCCAGGTGCCTTCTCTCCTGCCTACGTTTGGCTCCCAACAGTGGCAGGCACGAGCGTGCTTAGCAGAATTTTTTAAAGGATTTCCCTGGATCAATGGATCTAACCCAGTTATTTATAGTCTGGCCTGAAAAGGTGCATTATGCTCAGCACTTTGCACTAGAGAGAAGTCAGATATCAGAGCAGCATAGACCCAGTCTCAACCCTTTATGTTAGGGATGGTAGAATTCAGCCGCTGCAGGGAGGGGAAGATGCAGAGATTGAGGAGGCTCAGCTTGCTGCTGCTGCTGCTGGTAGGAGGAATGGGAAGCATCTGCATTTCCAGGATGGGGAATGCCCTGCATTTTTACATCAGTTATGTGACTGAGAATGATAGGATTTGACCCTTCAAAATCCACTCATCATATGCCTCCAAATATTCATAATTTCCTTCTTGTGTTGTTAAACATTTGCGAGTTAGACAAAATGAAAACAGCCCAGCAGGTTAATAACAGTGTGGGGGGATGCTGTCTGCTTTAATTACTGTGCCAAGCACAGCAATCATTCAAGGTTGCACAGAGCAGGATTTTAATGTGACTGCTTAATAGAAGAAAGTATCAACCTGCTGAAGTACAGGAATAAAGTCCAGCTAAGAAGAGGAATTATAATATACGAATTGAAGTAACAAGATATCAAAAGAAGGAAGCATGAAAAAATAGACCATTAACGAGGATTAGTGTTCACAAATGCAGTGTACCCCTAAGGAAAAATTATAGCTGACTCATGGAAATCTACAAAAAGAGATCTAAAGAGAAAAGTCCTGCTAATATTTGTGCCTCTAAAATCTGAGATCTCGGCTAGAGCATGGCTGCTACAAAAACCATCAGATTCACAAAACTCAACAGGAGTGATTAATTTCTATCAGATATTGCTGGCTTCCCAAGGGAACAGGCCTGAGACAGATGGCAGAACTCTGCTGTCAGTGTCTCCAGATGTAAAGAACAGGAGCTCTCACAGAAGCACAGTCTCATTTCCTTTCTCTTTTCATAAGCTGGGGGTGTGTGTACCCAGTACATGCAGTTTTCAAGCTAAGGCTGACAACAACCAACAAAAAACACTGTGTGATGAGAGTCCTGGTTTCTGGGACTTTCTGGAACCAAGCTGAGGATATACCAAAACAGATAAAAAAATGTTGAAAATATAACCCCAGCTTCTGGTAGTTACAAGTATTGTAGTCCTGATGCCATTTAGGACATGTTGGGCACTGACAACTGGGTCCAGTCTAATGAGACAATAGAAAAGAACATAAAACTCACACTGAACATCTCTTGGCAAGGTACTTCATGCATTTGTAAATTACTATCAATACAATAGCAAAACACTTCACTGACAAGAACACAAACTTGCTGTAAATTATTTACATTCATTCAGAGGCTATTGACTCGATAAGCCATAGCTGAAATCAAGATTCAGATGCTATTTCTAACGTACCACTGGTAGTGGGAAGGGCAGTTTGTAGCAATCTAACAGAAGCAAATGGAAAAAACTCAAAGCTCTCAAGCTTTGGCAATGCTCGTTGTGTTGTGGTTTTGGAGAAGAAAGGGAGGGCTTTATTAAGGAATGTAGTGTGGCCGGCCTTCACTAATATTTTAAGTTATTCAGACCAAAAGAAATCCAATCTCCATAAACAGTTCAAGGAGAAAAAAACTTTAAATCTAGGGGGTTTGGTTTTTTTTACCTTCACATTCTTTCTTTTTGGCAGAATATACTTGAATAAATAAACTGCGTACTATAGCCATCTATCTATCCAGAGAGAAAAGTCCTTGTACTTGCTGTACTTTCTAAAGCAATTGGTATCCTCTCTGCCTTTTGCTTTAGCAGATATCTGAAAAGAATTACATGCTCTTTGGAAAGGGGAAAAGGTAATGAATCAGTGTGCAGGTTACAGCAGAGGGTATATTAATTTATAAGCAAGTATCTACAGTCTTGCCAGGGTTCTTGAGTGCTGCTTTTCTTTTATTCACGGCATTCAGAACTTTCTTTCTTGGCCCAAGCTCCATCTGAATGCTCTGTAGATCTTCATCAGAACATAACATCAAGGCATCTAAATCAATTTTTTCCCTCATGAAGACTGGAAGGAACTCGTCCAGCATCTGTGATGCCAGAAATACCTCAAGGGGCGTGTTCTCAGCTTCCTCGTCATCCCAAATGACTTCTTCCTCATGCCAAGGGACATTAGCACCATTTTCAGCATCATCTTCCCTGCCATTCTCAGTATTTTCATACTGAAAGAGCTCACTGGACATTTTAAAGTTTATACCTTCTTTCTCAGGAGACACAGTTCCAGGATTTACATCTGCAGCCAAATTCCTTCCAAATACAATCTTGCCAAGACCTGGCCGCTTAAAAATGGAGAGCTGACTGTCATTATCAGGAAAGTTTTTCTCTCCAGGGTCATTCAGTAATTCATCTTCCTCTTTCTCATCGAACAAATGCATGACAGTTCTCCTTCCTTTACTATCCTCTTGGTCATTGCTTTGTGTTTCCTGGCTTCTTGTGCTGTCAACTGTCTTTTTTGCCTTCAGTTTGAAGGTATCTTTTAGGCTTTTGGAGAAAGAACTTGTATTTGAAGCAAAGAGACTAGGCAACTTTACTCTGGAGTGTGTCCCTCTGGAAGAATTTACTGTGCCAACCTTTTCTTTCATATAATTCTGATTCATTTCATGCTGGTGTTTCTCTTGGCGCTTCTCACATTCCTTGATTTGTTTCTCTACATTCCTCTGGGCCTGTGCTTTGAGTTTGGAGACCTTCTTTGGATTCAGCATGTTCTGCTCGGTGGCAGCTTTGTCCAGGATTCTGACACATTCGTTGCGGTCTCTGCTGGCAGCCGCCTCCAGGGGAGTGCGGAGGTCATTGTCCAGAGCAAAGATATTGGCACCAAAGTTAATCAAAAAAGAAACACAATGGATGTGACCATTGCAAGCAGCGTGGTGGAGAGGCGTGTTCCCCCAGATGTCACATTTGTCCGGATCACCTCTGAGAAGGAAAATAGCACACAGTGAGCTGGATGTACCCAAGCATAACGCTGCAGTGGGACTGACAGGTACGAAATGTTTAGCTCTGCTTTGCTAGGAGGGGTACAACCCAACGAGAATGAATCACCTTGGTGCCATCCTCGAGAGCAGCGCTGCACCTACTTACACAAGGACCGAGTCTGGCTGTGCGTGTGGCGTGAGCTCTGATTCCTGCCCCTCTGTGAATTGAGCAAGCTCCCTGGATGGCACATGCAACCCCCGTAACGGAGCCTTTGCGTCATCCCAGGGGCTGGCAGGGCTGCTGGCCGGGCTTGCTTTGCTCCCTGCCGATCTCACCTGCCTCCTGCCATGGGGCAGAAATAAGCAGACACCCATGTGTAGACACGGGGCTGCAGCTCCCACGGCTTTGCTGCTGACAGCTCCAAGTGGGACTTAGGCTCATTGGAATTAATGTCAAACCTGTTTCAATAGCTTTTGCGTGGAATGTTTTAAAGGCTTTTTGGTGACTCTTTGCTTTTGCACGTCAAGTGTAGGGGCAATAATAGGAGGATTCTTCACTGGCCCCAGTGATACACATTTAATGAGCCCATGCAGTAGCATTTTTGATAGGTAATAGGTAAATGATTAAGAGTAAAGCCCTAATTACACATTTCTCTCCATTGCTATTAGATTAAGCTCACATAGATGCCGTTGTTCTTCTTCAGCTCTTTTGTTCTTAAGCTGCTTTTGCTCATGGGGTTTGAAAAGCAGAAGCTCATTTGAAAATAAAATACCACATCTTTTCAATTGGATTTAAAGCCAGTGAAAAATATTGCTTTCTTTTTAACTCTTGCACTGACTTCACACTGAACTGCTGCCTGCAGACAAGAATTGGCTTGAATCTTTTATTCCATATTCGGCAAGATCAACATTAGCGATAGTTCAGAAGAGACCTTGAGATGTCTGCGACCAATAACCAAGGCAGCTATGGTAGCCCAAAACCTTTAATAACTTCAGAGCCAGGGGCCATGTTTACAAGGAGAATTTCTACTCTTAAGGGTTTGAGCATTTCAATGACTTGGAGATCTGTGCCATGGAAGCTGAACTGTGAATGAAATGGTCCATCCTATCACAAAATCTCCTTCAGGCATTGATCTCTGGCTTTGAGTATCTCTAAAGCAAAGCACTAACATATTTGTTGAGAGTCAAATCTGAAAACACCTTTCAGCCTGAAATGCCACAGGCAAGAGAGAGGTCGTGGGTCTCTGCAGAGCTGAGACACAGAGCTGCTGGCATTGAGAAACAATGGCACGTCTGAGCGTGCCAGGCTGCGAGGGTGCAGGCATTGCTACAAGGAGGTGGCAGCTGAGAATCAAAGTTTCTCCACTTAGACATATGGGAACCATGTGTACATATTTCTGCTTTTGTGGCTCTGCCTGGGGGAACTGCCTGACTGCGGGTGAGCGTGCCAGATTCCTTAATTCCCACATTAGCAAACAGGCAGCGTTATCCTGAGCCTCGGGAGTGCTGGGTCATCCATCCTCCCCCAGGTCCCTCCAGAGCTGTTTGTGGTCTCTTTTCCTCTTGGAGCCTGCCAGCCTTTGAGCCTCAAACAATTAACAAACTAGAGTGTCTATTCCCAGCTCAGTGGGACTTTGGGTAATGTTTGACATCTACTTTGGGTTCTCATACTCCTCTTTTCCCTGCTTTCCCAAGAAAGAGGCTCACACAAAAGAGAGCCGATGAGCTACTTGGTCTTGCCTTTATTCATATACCTGCAAAGCAGGCAGAGAAAGCATCTCTTTATGGAAGATAAGCTGTTTCAAGATGAAAGGTGTTATATTGTTAGTATTGCTACATTTTCCAAGGACTGAATGTGTTGCAAGCTTCAGAGTCCTAAAATCCACAACCCCTCTAAAGAAAACCATCCTGTATCTCAGTGCCTTTGTTAAGAAACATCTTCAAGGAAAGGGTGAATTTGTTAAAAATAATTAAAATACTTTTTCACAAGATAACACTGACTGCAGAACCGATTAAACGTCTTCCAAAATTCAGCTTCTCCCAAGGAAACCAGTGAGACTACTGCCATATCTCTGACAGCCCCAGCTTGCTGATCATGTCAGGAAATCTTGGGTTAAAAAAGAGGTGAATGCATATGTTTGACAATTTTAAGGGCATTGCTATCCCAAAGCTACCCTCTACCAAGAAAAAGATTTAGAAATACATTAACTAACAAATACATAGAAAGTCTGATCTTTGTGTCATCCTCTGTGACTTCTATCAGCTTACATGGTAGAAGATACATTTTTCACTGAAATTGTGAAAAAAATTATTCAGTTATTTGTTCCTTAGTTAGCTGTTCTGTCTTCTAGATATTTCCTTGGAGCTGCCTTGCTTATACAAGTTGAAAAACTGTCAATCTATTTTTGCTTCTCCTGGGGACACCGCAATAACCACACAGTCCAAAGGTCTTTTTTATTGCATTATTACAGCCACACCTGAGCTCAATGAGTTATAAAGCAAATCTATGAAAAACCTATATTTATTCCATATTTTCAATTCTATTTTTAATAAAAAACCTCAGATACATCCAAATAGTTATTCAACTTTTCCCTCCAATCTTCTTTAAACTATTCTGACTGAAAATACAGGTCAACTTAATCTTCATCTCAGCCCAGGAAGAATATTTTATTAACTGTATCTCTACACGAGAGCAGATTTTCTTTTATTAGATCTTACAGAATCACAGCTTAAGAGGTAGTCTCCAAGCAAGAGAGTATAGATGATGGGGAGGTAATTACCATTTCAATAATACTTTTTAATCATGTAGTACATTTAAATGAAACCAAATAGAAATATTACTATTAGAAACCTGTAGAAAACCTTCCTTTTCTCTCTCTTTTTTTTTTAAGGTTTTCAAGTATCATTCCCCAGCTTCTGAAACAGTATTATCATTTTTATCATGATAGTGGTTGCTAATACTATAAAAAGCAAAGAAATAACAATTTGAGATGTTACTGTCTCAAAACTATTGGTTGTGACTTGCCTCTGGAAAGCATTAAACCTTCACAGATGTCTACTAACTGCATGCTGGAAGCAAATGGGAGATTTTTTGCTAAAAATATTTCAAACAATGCATTTCTCTAGAGCCAATTTCAAAGATATATTATCACCAAAGGTTGTCAGCCAACTTCTCCTCCACTACAGCGAGGTGAGGGCCCTGCTCTGACTAACCACTCCCTGCAGACTCCATGTATGAGATGGTCCCACTGGTCTCAATGCAGCTTCACCAGCCGTAGGTACAGACCTGCTCACAGGTTCTGGGCCATTGAAAATGAAGAGAAACAATTCTTGGCAATGCATTGAAATAAATTACTTTGATTTTCAGCCTTTTGTGTCTGAGGTCACTGGGGCATTAGAAAAGTGACTTACTAATTACAGTTTTAAGCCACAAGCTTTAGGTAATGGAGGCTGATTGACTTACCCCCTCCGACATATGACTTCCAGAGCCTCTAGATACCCATGGTATGCTGCCAGAAGGGTGGGCGTCATCCCGTCTTCATCTGAAGTATTGAGGTCTTTCCTAGTGGCTTCTTTCAAGAGCTCCAAGTTGCCGTCAGCTGCTGCTTTGTGATACCTGCTGGACATTTTCAGTAACTTCTGGTTTCCCAAAGCAGCTCTGAACGATATCCAGGCTGTACAGTCACCCTTCCATTACAGGGACAGTTCATTAATGATTACAAGTTGAAACATCCCCGTGAGGATGGAAATGAGGAGGCAAAGTTCATTCTAGCAGACAGTTTAACTGGAGCTCTGCATAGGTAATAAGGTGACAGAGTGGTGAACGCTTTCATTTTCTGGAAGGTGGCTCTGCTGCTTACCATTTGTTGCATATTTGACTATTTAAACATAGAGGGGAATTATCTGTCTTTTCTGTGTCTTTGCCTCACTCTTTTGCAAAAATTCAAAAGGATCTTGAACTTAAAAAAAAAACCTTCAATAACTTAAAAAATCTTCAAAAGGCCATGAATGTCCATACAACTAGATTTCACTCTAAGTGATAAACTGTCCCTGAGTTTTGATAGGATTAAATGCATAAGCAGTTACTGGTGAAGTCCTTTGTCATTTACTCCATTTAAAATTTACTGCATTTAAAAGAGTTACTGCATTTAAAAACAAACCTCTCCCCCACCAAATCAGGCACATCCATAAGGCTCTTTCATGTACGTAGACTGATGTGCAGATGGAAACAGGGGTTGGAACCAGGGTGGTGGTTGGATAAAACCACCAGCAGGTCCGCAAGTCACAGCAGACAAAGCCACAGCCTAGTGTGTGATCCTTTTAACTGCAAATTGCATTTCACTGGGGGGTCTTAAGGCACTTGGCAAATATAAATTCATCAAACAGGTATTGTAATCTCTGGTTTAGATGCAAAAAATGTGCAGGATTTCCTCAGGATAACACAGGGAATTCAAGAAATGGAAATGTGATGGGCTTGAACCCACTGACCCAGCCCAGGCACTGTGGTCCTCAGCTGGGAACAGGTGGGTCCAGTCCCTGTCCCACATAACCACTTCTCGCTTTAGAAATTATTTTCCCTGGTTTCAGTGGCATTGAGGGCTACCTCTATGAGTAGAAGCTTATAGAGTTAGACCATAATTCCAATTTTTAGGTTCAAAAGAATTACTAAGAGAAAACCATGTGAAAGGTCAGTTTTCAAACAGTAGCTGAGAAGAAATCAGTGAGACTACCCGCTGCTTAATAAAATGCTGCAGGCTCTCTGTCATTCTGGTCACATTCACAACAGCTGCCAGATAAATGTTACTTTTTTGTCAAGCTGTTTTCTATGACTAACTGAATTAACCTGTATCCTAGAGAATCTACCCTCAGCAATTAGCAGTGAGGTCCTGGTGCTTATTATGCCCCTGTTACAGAAGCAGTAGCGATTGCAAACAGGCTCATTGTCCAGAGCTGGTGCAATTACTGAATGGAGTGCCACCTCATTTACTGCCCATAATGCCACCCATGTCCTACACCGGAGACCTCTCCAAATGGGCTTTCTCTCTTAATTACTTTCTCAGACAGGGATTGAAGAGCTCTTCAGAAACAAACTTGTACCAACACTTTCCTCCATGAGGACAAGGACAGTCAGTCAGATCCTGTGACAGGTTTGAATCTTTGCATAAACAAGTTTAGGTAGGAGTAAACTAAAGCCCTAATTTTCCTTCATGTCATCCACAGACACAGCCATCCCCGGTGCTATCCTGCCGTGGCAGGGCAGTGAGGAAGGGCTGTGCTTCACCCAGGACATCCCTGTGCTAGACGACAAATTTACCTTCAGCCCTTTTCCAAGTTCCCTGCATGGCCATTAATACTTTCCTAATAAAAAACACAGTCATTTATTCAATTTTCTATTTAACCAGACTCAGCACTGAGTTAAATTTACAGCTACTAGAAAAAAGTAGCTGTTGCAGAACAAGGCCAGGTAATACATATACTTTTTAATGTATATATTAGATTAGATGTTTCTTGATGCTGTTGTGTTTTATTTCCTTTACTGGGTAGTGTAAGCTTTTTTGCTCTGAAGAGTGTAAAATGATCACCAAGGCACTTACTGCCTATACCACCAGTGCCTGGTAGAAGAGAAGAAACTGTTTTTCTTAAACATTGACATTTTGCATTTTGGCTACACTCATGAAAGTGAGTTGATGGCAAAAGAGACCTTTTCATTTTTCAAGATTATTGATTTCTACTACAGAAGTACATTCATTTGCTTTTCTGTTAATTAATTCAGCACACAAAGTGTTGATCTCAGAGAGATTTTTATAATCTAACATCAGAAAATATTGATTTTAAAAGAAAGTTACTCTGTGTGATGCTAAGTGGGAAACTATTGTTCCAAGTTTTAATTAGAGGCAAAGCAAAATGCACGTCAATTGGAGAGAAGCTCCAGGACTTTGCAAGCTTTGTTATTATTTATGTCACAAAAGTGGGCATCACAAAAAAAGAAAGAAAAAAGAAAAGACCAAAAAAAATCTCCATCTGTTTCTAAACTCCTGGTGTTTGTTCATCTTTGTCCCATCCAAAAACCTCAACTTAAAATGCGATAAATGATTCAACAGCAAATGAGCTAAATTTCTCAGCCTGAATGGAGATTTTTCTTTTGAGACTAAAGCTCAAAATTGTGAACTTTGTAAACTCCCTGAGTAGTTAGAATGAATCTTTTCTTTTGGGGTTTGAAAAGAACTTCAAAACCATTCCACTTCCAATTGAAATGTCTTACCAGGCTCAGGAGAAACTCCATTGTGATGGCATGTGTGGTTGTAAGCTAATGAATTATTTAACTGGCAGTTTTGATTTGTTATTGGATTTTGTTATGTCTCTGATTATTGCTCTATTTTTTTGAGAACTATCTTAAATAAAATATTACCAGTTAAACAAAGTATTTAGATTGAAAAATGACAGCATCATTGGTTACATTGATCTAGATAACTCAGAGCCCAATCTGAACAGTGATGTTGTTGTGCCATCTGTTTTGCATGAGGTATTATCCAGCACAACATTTCCTCACTGCAACTTTTGTAAGCACCAAACGTGGAATGGTAAAGGCCATATGGGGGGAGGCAAGTAAGTCTCTGCTTGTCTAATGAGACCTTTGGAACTAATGGGCTTAGAAAATAATGAATTAATCACATGAGGTAATTGTGGCTACACAATTCAGAGATGATGACAACATTTGAACAACAATAAAAGCTTAGTTCTTCACTCCTTAGAGAGGCAAAACTGCTGTGCCCAAGGACACTGTTGCTGGATGTTCTCCTGAGCAGCCCCATTCCCACAGCGATGTTGATTGTGACCTGTGCCAGTGCAGCCCGAGACCCATCCTGATGTGATCTTTGTCCAAGCGTGACCGTGCTCAAGTTGGGGGTCCAGGGGCAGCCCCTGCAGTCTGCCTGCAAGTGTTATTTCAGGAGTGAGGCCCTAGTCCATAGAGAAAGATACGTACAACTGAAAGGCAATAACGCCAACTCTACCAAAGCCCCGTCTCTCCTCACCCACACACCTCAACACGTGGCCACCATACCGGACCTATAAAAGCAGACTAGGGGACTTTTGTAGGGCTGGAAGAAGTGATGTTACCTGTTGTATCATAGTGACGTTTGCAGTAAGTGTTTTTGCTGCACGTGCTCAAAATCAGGAGACCTGACCTGGCATTTGGGCTCTTTACATTGCTAAAGCCTTTTACTTGGTTTTGTTTTTTTTCCCCCATGATATCATCACCAGTGCTACAAAGAGTCCCAAGGAAAGCCACGTTGAGCTCACTGGTGTCTCAGATGCTGTTCTGCTGCCAGTGCGTGAGGGACAGGGACAGCCAAAGCCCATAGGAAAGTATATATCTGCTGAGGTGATCTGTGCTCTCCGAAGATGGTTTGCAGCACCCCAGTGCTCGGGGTGTTCAGCACTGCTCTTGGGCAATGCTTTTTTCCCCCAGAAGTTAGAAAATCAAACAAGTAAAAGAGAAAAGCAGAGGACTGGAAGAGGAGACCTTGCAGGTTTCCACACAGCTCAGACAGGTGAAACTGTATTTTTTGAAAGGCGGAATGGCTGTGCTTTCTCTGTAGCTTAGGCTGCAAATTCAGACATGTTAAGTGAAGCAACAATTATTTTAGCACATGCTGATGAATTACATCCTACAAACTCAAAGATTGATATTAGGAGCTGCTAATTTGCACCGCAGGGCAAACCCAGTTGTGGTGACTGTGACAATAGTGTTGCTCTAACCATTAAATGTTGTCAGGCCCAACATTACCTTTCAGCTACACAAGCCACAACCTGTCACGAGGCATTTGGGAATTGGCAGAACCCTGAGTTCACGCCAGCAGGCAAGGACAGGCTGTCCTTCTGCGAAGGGACCGTGCGTTGCTGCTGCCCAGGCTGCTGCAGGTGTCCCCCATGCCAGCAGCATCACTCCGATGGGATGTGAGATCGAGATTTTACCAGCCCAGGGTCAGCCAAACTGTGGGAATATGATCCAATGATCCAAAGCTCCCTGGGACTTACAGCTTTTCCACCAAGCTGGGAATCAGGGGCGGGGAAATTACGAGTAAGTTTAACTTTATATCAGATTTGACTGCCTGAAAGTACCTCATTTGTGTAATTCTTTAAAGGATACGTACTTGAAACACTTTTTTCCCCCCACTGTGTTAGTTAAACCTAAGCTAAATGGTAATAGATACATAATACAATAAACTTGTACATGGCTTCAGAGTTTGTTTCGTTAGTTTTAATCATAAAATCACAGAACAGTTTGGGTTGAAAGGATCTTAAAGATCATCCAGTTCCAACCCCCTGCCATCAGCAGGGACACCTTCCACTAGACCAGGTTGCTCAAAGCCTCATCCAACCTGGCCTTGAACACTTCCAGGGAGGAGCAGTCACAGCTTCTCTGGGCAACCTGTTCCAGTGTCTGACCACCCTCACAGGAAAGAATTTCTTCCTAATGTCTCATCTAAATCTCCCCTCTTCCAGTTTAAAGCCATTACCCCTTGTCCTATCACTACTGGCCCTTGTAAAAAGTCTGTTTTCTGTGTAATCATTGCTTTTGAAAATAATGAATCTCATTAGAAGAAAAAAGAAAGAGAAAAACA